ATATGCTTTTGACCCCAAATTAACAAAAGTATTTGAATATACAATAGAAAATATGCAAATATGCAAATTAAGTAATTAATATGCAAGCCAATAAATACACAAATGAAATCCAATAAATTATTAAAAGATTACATTTTTTCAAGAACTAAAACAAGGAATCCAGGTAAACTGTATTATGTTGCGCTAATGCTACATGTATGTTTCAGCTTGTATTCTGCAAATCCACCTTATCTTCAGTCAAATATTAATACTATTAAGAAGTACAACTGACATGTACTCTACACGACATGACCTGACAACGGATACATGAAATGAGAGCTTCATACCTGTTGCTGGTTTTCCCTCTGCGAGTTTAATCTGGCTTCTATACATTTCCTTGTCTCCAGAAAGGCCTGCCTCTGGGCAACTTCTGTTGGATAATGTGTGAAAATACCTGCTAAGTTGGCACAGGCAAACACCAAGACATTGGCTACAATCTGAAAAAACATAAAATGATACGATTGTAAATATAGAACAAACAAATTAACATTGCTATGTTTATATTATTATTCATTATAATATTTAATATCAAAATTAGAAACTCATTTCACGTAGCACAAATCAAACCAGAAATTATGTACAATCAACGTCCTTCAAATCCATGGGAAGATTTATTGGGCTTGTATAAATCCGCAAACATTCTTTTTGCATAGAAACGAACCAGGTAAAATAAAATTCTGGATCCCCTCTGAAATTACTAACAATAGATCATTGGCAAGTTTACATGTGAGATACCATACGCAAACTGAAATCTCTCACTTTAATAAGGATACTTTGAGGATGGGAATTTTCATGATTTTTTTTTTTTTTTTTCAATTAAATAATTAGTTAATTAATGTCAGGTAATAGATGGAAATTTGAAAGATCCCTGCAGATTCATCAAACAGAGATGTCATTGTAAATGCCATCCAGTCAATCAGGGCATTACCATCAACGAAGACAGTTGAGAGTAACTATAACATGATACTATATATAGTGTAGCCTGCAAACAACACAAATTGGATGTCAAGCAATAATACATATTAGCTGGCATCAGCATGTGATCCTTTTGTTTGCTATATAAAATCTATTTTCTGAGAAAACTTACAATAATAAGTAAAAAACGACAATTAAACTGTAGCTTCCATGGACAATGAAAATACATTTTGTTATTAAAAACCAACTGAAAATGATGTCATTTATTTTAAATTAATACATGTATCTTAAAGACACTGGATCAGGACAAATTATATCTCTTTGACATGGAAAAACATAAAATAAAACCTCTTTTGCTCATTGTTTTTTTTTTAATACTTTAAATTTATATATAGACTGTTCTTGAGATAAATATTATCATAGTTATTATTATTATTATTATTATTATTATTATACATACATTATACATCAATTTTCGCAGAAATACAGATACAGAAATCCCATATTTTTATTTAATTGTCAATATTTTTGAAACATTAAATGCTGCATATACATAAATAAAAATAATCATAATCATTTTAAATCTTTAGTGGTATTTCAAAACAATTAATACCTATGCTATAAATAACTACCATAGTTCAACATTCTCTCACTGAAGCAAAACTGAGAACACGCTCCATCTACTTTCAATCGGTCTCCTAGCAACTGCCTCCATAATACATGTATCATATCTACTCCTTACACACTGCTCTTTCCAAGACCTTTATAAAAATCGTGAGTTCTCTTCAACACAGTCAGCTCTGAGAGATTCCCATTTTCCCAAATTCCCAAGCATTTTAACAGCAAGCCGTAATTGAATGACCTTCTGCTGAATCTTTTCAAAGTAGCACGCAACAATGTAAAGAAACTCGCATTCTGACAAGATTGATGCTGATCAGTGTACAGTAATAGGTTTTAGTAATCACATTTCTCGCAAGGACCCTTCATTGTTGTTCTCTGGTGAAAAAAAGTCTTTGTGAAGAGAAAAACCTTCAAACGATAGTATCAGATATATTTTCCAATCAGACTCCAATGAATTTGAATTGAAATAATAGGAGGATCATGAGTGTATGTATATTTATTCTAATTATAAACATTAATGCACATTCCTCTTGATCACAATCAAGCTTGATTAAACTGATTAATAACATTATCAAATGATGAAAAGAGACACTACATTGTATCTGAGAATGATTCTTTAAACACCAGTTGGTATTAATCGAATTGATCACAAACATAAAACGTTTGCTACAGGCAATTAATGAATTGTGTTGATGATACACTAGAGTGTTGTTTTTCTGTATGGCTACTAGGGACATGTTAGAGGTTACTAGGGACACGCCCACAAGAAAGCCATTGAGGTAATCAGTGTATGTTCCAAGTGAATGTATGAGTACGATAGTTTGTTCATTACTAAAAATGACATAATGCTGAAGGCATTTGATTCAGATTAATAAATAAGTGAACAAAATGATAATAGCATTTACAACTTATAACTGTGGTATTGAAATAATTTCTCAAAGGCTATGTTAGGACAATAAAGAACCATGTGATTCACAAGAATTCGCTGAAAAACCACAGTGAATAGACTATTTTCCGTTCACTGCGAGAATCACGCGTTATGTGTGAAATCGAACGTAAAAACAGGACAAACAAAGGTCATAGCGTCGTAGTCGCGTCAAACATCGCGTGGGATTCGACAAACACGAAAGTATTTCGGGGACATTTCCATGCTTAATAATGTGCTGTCCACATTTGATGATAGGCAATTTCGATTAAGTAAGGGTATTCGGAAGCAATATTCCTCTGTCGAAGATCGGCCGGTCAATGTAAGCTACGAAATAAAGAAATTCTAGTTCAAAATCAAATCGTTCGATTTTTGCGGCAGACGTTCAACGCGCGTCTTTCATGCATCTCGCGAGATCTCGCAATTGTACGGAAAATCACCTATTAACACCATTGAGATTGATACTGTTTCATGTGTTTTATGATTTGCAGTAAGATTTGTTTAATGCTAAGGAAATATCAGATTTTGAAGTGGTTGCTATGGACACCATAATGTAAATAATCAATATGTAGACATTCAAGATCTCAAACAAAAATTGTTTGCCATTTTTTTAATCTTTCACAAATATAATCAAGCTTTCCTGCAAGTAAAAGACAAGGATGCATAAAAAGTTTACTAATACCAACATATGCATCCCAGTCTACAATGTATAGTTAAATATGCACTGATATAACATTTTAATTGTATTTTGAGCAAATCAGACATTATTCCTTATTCTAGAAATAGGTTTTTCTTATAACAAGTGTACGAGAAGGAGAGTTTAATTTAAATGCATGGATTTGATGTTTCAGGGATTTTCACCTGGTTTTAAATTCACTGGTTTGTGAAGGAAACAATACATTCTGTTGTTAACTTCACACATCCACTGGGTTTTAATTCAATTCAGTGTATAAGCAAAATTATAACCCAGTGAATAATTCAGCCCCCATACATTAAAACAATCTTGCTATACTGCCCTCACAGGCATACACAAGAAATATTTTAATCTTACATGTTTTGCAGTGACACTTATATTACAGATGAATTGACATAACCATAGCAACAAGAAGAAATGAAACATGATGTTGATTTCATATTGGATCATGTATTGAAACTGAATCAATGATAATTAGGTGCTGAAATATTCAAATTTCATAATTGTCTATAATATCAAAAAGTTTATTGTTTATTGTACATTATACCCATTATCTTTAAGCTACATCTATTGTCTGAAAATTATCATGCTACATAAGTACTCGTACAATAAATCTCAGATTCACTTTATTAGTAAAGCATACATTTAAATTAAATCATATTTTAATGATTCAGTAAATGCAAGTTTTGGTTTTCTGATTGACAAGGGTATGTGACGAAGAACAGAAAAACATTTCATTTTCAAGCAAAATATTTTGAAAATGAAACTGCAATGTGAACTTTTAAAGGGAACCATGCGAGGCAATCGGGTAGGACATTAAGGTAATTGCCTTCATGCTTCCCTGCATTGCAAGCTCTGACATTTTGTAGAGATTGAACATATTAAATTTCTCAAAAAAAACTTCTAGGGTCTCTGCCAATTAGATGGTACAGCGTCTTTCCACAAAGATTTTTCTTGGAAGTTTAGCCAAAACATAAAAACTGAGAAACGGTAATGCCAGTCTATATATTGACAATGAATTTACAGACATTGGGCAAAAGAATTAATGCAAGCAACATAAGGCAATTGAGTGGTTTGGTTCATTGC